AGGAAGCTGCGGTTAGCAAATAAAAGTTAATGACCAAGCTTCTGTTAGGTCACAGCAACTCATAAAAATAGTTCTGACAACTGAAGTTTTGGGACCTGTTACTATATTACACCCTACCAGTCCAGAAGATTTAGTCTAAATAATTTTATCTTAATAAAAAGAAATTAACTTAAAACAATGTTTTATGTTACAGAAATAACAAGACACTACACAGCACTTCAACTTCCACTAAATTTGCCTAGTACTTACAGCTGGGACCTCCATTTCAGACAAATTACAGAGAAATCAACCAACTTCACAGCATAGTACAGAAAAGTGTCTCTGTATCTTGCAAAATGTGTAACATCAGACAAGTCCTGAAATAAGTAATTACAAATATGATGGTCTTCTATGTTTAGGCAAACAGTCTGATAATGCCTTTCCACCTATACCCATTCTTGAGTATTAACTTAAAGGACATTGACCAGTCTGGCTGGACACTTCTTCACGTAGCTGCAGGGTCATTAAAACAGAGGTAACAGTAACTTTAATCACCTCTGGAGCAAACATTAACTTTGCCAGTCCAACTTGTGGAAGAACTGCCATCATGTTGCAGTGTGCACAGCATTGTCTAAAGCAAGCAGTATTTTAGGTGTCAACACAGATTGGATCCATTTACTATTAAGTAACAGAGCCAACATAAATACCCAAGATCACAAAGGACAAGCAGCTATTCATGAGGCCCGCTCAGGTGGCAGAAAGGAAATAGTTGATCTTCTGTTAGAGTATAAACTGGACATGAACAGTTTAACAGGAGATGGGCAATCCCCACTCTCTTCATTTCCTCAACGCACATCAAATTTAAAAGATACAGCACTGTTGAACAGGTTGCTAGGTTTCTCATATCCACTGAAGTAGAGATAATCAAGGACACCCACCCACTGAACTTCTGTTCTCAGAATTTCAAATGCTGAAGACCTTATAACATTATCATGCAAATTACTGTCTCTGCAAGATATCCGCAAAATCACCATTAGAAGAATGGTGAAAACAACGAGCACTGGCTCAAAAACAGGCTCCCAGTATTGAATTCTTTATACAACTACCAGGACTTTGGACAATAAGGCCACGATGATGCTAAACAGGAAAGCAAACTGAAAAATTGCTGACCCTGAAACAGCCGGCAGAAAAATTAAAATTAATCCAGAATGAAGAGTGTGTGTTTTCAAGTAGTTCCAAGTTTTCACATGTGGAGTTTTAATAATCGAGATTATTTTTACACTAATTTCCTCATCTAGCTATGGTATCAGATACAGAGAACCTCTGTGGAAAGCAGAGTAGGAAAACGCACATTCACTTCCTTGCTATTCAAGTCTATCAGTTTAAGGGAGGAGGAAGTAAGATCTATCTACCTATGCGTTGCATTTAAGCCAGCCAGTAAGTCAAAACTATTCTCATGACTACAGTTCCAAAAAAACTTCACAGGAACATATACAAGGCATCCCATTCTAATAGGTCAAAATGTTAATTTTTAATGTCTGTTCTTTGTTACTTTTACTAGGAATGAAACCAAAACTTTTCATTCAGTCACTAACATCACCTACAATTTCAGTCCCTTACAGGAGACAGCAACTATTTTGAAAGACAGTGATTATTTGCAACTGAGGGATTTTTTTTTTTTTAATAAGTAACTATAACTTGAACATATTTTCAAAAGCTAACTGATATGCTGATAGCAAATTGAAGTGTAGTCAAGGGGCTTTGTTTATTTTTATCATTAACTAAAATAATTTTTTTTAGTTAATTAGGTAATTTAGGTTCCCTGGTTAAGGAAAGACAAAGACAAAACAAAACCAATCTGACCATCCCTATTTAGGACAAGAAAATGGCTTCACAAAGGAGGAAACATTTCCAGAGCTTAACCATAATTCACTTGTAAGTCAATGTAATCTAGTACTACGCTTATAGTAAAGAAAGTATGGTACTGGTATAAAGGAGACAATGTATTTTTTCATATGTAACATAGCTAAATTCTTAAGGGACCAGGTCATCTCAAATTTAACTATGAAGTTGCTTTCTCCCTTATCTTTGTTTTCTTCTACCTGTAGTAATAATTTGATGAACTTACTTTAATGTCTCGATGCATCACTCCCATGCTGTGGATATAGCACACTCCTTCTAATAACTCTTGAAAAATTTTCATTGTCCAGCAGACATCCACAAGATGGTATGGACCTTAAAACAATTTAAAATCGGGATTATTTCAGCTAATGTTACTGAGTTATAAAAGTTTACGGTGGTATGTCTTGTTGAATTCTGTTTATTTATGGTATGGAAGAGATTTTTAACAAAATGAGCGTAGTTTAAAAATGGAATTTCCCATGCTTCTCCTAAGATAGTATTTTTGAAACAGCAAAAAGTCACTGACCTCAAAATTCCAAAAAGAAAAGTTCAGGGGACATGAACATATGTCTGCCTGAAAAGATGCCTCCAAACCCCATCAGATAGTTATTTGATTATTACAAGTTCTTTACTTCCATGGAAGTGCTGAATCAGAATGAAAAACACGGTTCCAGATAAAATCATACTAATTTACATAATGACATGTTTTCTGTATTGATTTGCACCCTTCATTTTTGGATCCTAATCTTCCTGCTGTTGTGCTATCCTCTGAAATTCCCAAATCTCCTCTGGCTGTAGCTGTCCTAAATAAACTGACCATCTCCTTGTTTTTTGCCATTTTCCACATTATTATTTTATTAAACTACATTGTCTTCCTACTCTTAACGACCCAGATCTAACATGTCTGTTGCCATTTTTCACACTCACCATTTACTCCTACTTGGGCTTCTGTTTCTTAATGTCTAACCTATGATAGCATCCACATTTCCTCTCCTGTTGCCTGTGAAAATGGAGTTTTGCAAGGTCAAATGGCCTAATAATTCTGTCATTCCCTGACCAGGAACATCATCTTTTAGCTTATGAAAGCTAAAAGACTATGATTACAGGAGAGACTAGTGGAAGTCAGCTAATAGTTAGCTGATAAACCTGACTCCATGACCGAAGAGAACAACAGATTTATCTGAATAGTGATGAAAACTAAGATTAAACATTAATCATACAGTTTATGTCTTGCAATCTGTTAAGCATATGCTTTTTTTATACAACCACCCCAGAGAAAGGAACATGTCTCTAATGCTTTAAGAGCATTAGACTCGTTCTTCCAACTGTTAATATTTATTGAAGATGACTTGGTATCAGGGCGTGCGAACTCTCAAGCAAAGTAATTGTTAGATTCTTTAGACCAATGACAAATTAGCCTGCATAGGAACTTTGATTGTTAAGAACAAACTTAAAAGCTTTTAAGTATGTTGTTACCTGTCTGGAACAAAAGATGTATGTGTATTTTCCACAGCAGATAAATTAGCCTGTGAAGAGCTCTATTTTGTAGCAGCAAGACTACTGCCAAAGCAAAATTTAAATTATTTAAACAGCTTACTGGGGAAAAGCAAATTCTGTCAATAAAAAACTCTATTCCTAATAAGTAGCATTGCCCAGGCACAGATCTCTCCCGGTAACAACTATGCCTCAGGCATACAGGCATACATTCATTCTTTTTTGAAGACTTGTCTAAAAATCATGAACTTTAATCTCTTTTACCAACACCTATCATACAAAGATTCAATACTAGCTGCTATTTGATTAAGTGAGTAAATAACCACATGAAGAAGATCTGTATTACAAGCTCAAGTAAAACATAAAATCAGGCAAGTGGACTTCTAATTAGGAAAAAATAAATAGTTGCTTTATAATGAATAAGTTAATTTTTAAGACAGTGATGAATCTTACTGGAAGTTTCGTCTGTTCTCTCATTGCATCTTTTATTACGGTCAACAATCCAATCCCGCAAGGATAATTCACACAGTTGCATTTGTATATGAAGCATCAAACGATAGTCCACCTAACAGAAAAATAATGGTCCATAATTTTGACACTGAAATATGAACAGTATTTCCTTAGTTATTTTCTTTAAAGGTAATAAAACCAAAACTTGTTTATTAAACTAAAAAAAAAAAAGTGATATATCAAAGTGACATTGAATACAGTATTACAAATCTACTGCAGATGCAACAATGCTATCTAGGTTTGGGGTTTTTTTTTGCTTGCTTGTTCCTCAGGTTTTAACAATTGCTATATGATAAAAGCTAACAAAACAGCCAGCTACATACCTTAAGATTCAAATTAGAGTTTTAAAGCTTCTAGACATACTGAACAGAGGCTCGTTCTGGCTTAAGAAAATAGTATAAATTAATATGAAATAGCAAAAAATTTCAACCTCTTCAATCTTCAGTTTCTTGCAAGAGGGTACTCCAAATGATAGCAAAAGCTTGAAGCATTCCAGAGCTGGATGTGTGATGCAAAACATCTCAGAGGTATGAACGCCAACAAAGTTTAAGCATAGGCAGAGCAGTGGTCCCCTGCCCAAATATGCTTCTCTCTTTTTCACATATAATCCTACACTGTACAAGCACCATATCACATACCTAGACACTTTCATCAATAATACCCGAATTAGCCATCATTACTGAATGCTGAAGATTTTCAAGTGTGATGGGGTTTTTTTATGCAGAATTAGTACTTTTTATTCACGTAGGTACTTTGAAAGGACCCAAGATGACTAATACATGGAAACTTTCTTGTATGCTGGGTTTTGCCAGCTCCGCTGGTCAGCTTCCTTGTAATGGTGTTACCCATTTAAGTAAAAATTGTCTGTATTCTAATAGCTCGAATAGCAGTCATTTATGTTTTTTGAATGTATCACGATAAATCACTCCTCTGTCTACCAAACTCTACTTTACAAACATCATTAAATTACACAGCAGTTAAGTATGTTTAAAGAGAACTGTATTTACCTCAAACTCCCCACAGAGAGCTACATCGTTCTTGGAGCATTCTTCAGTGCAGGACTTACTTCCAGTGCTAGAATCTTGCTCCAGACTAGAATGAGGTCCCGATGCTGAATGATTTTTCATATCAGTTGATCTACTGCTAACACTACTTACAGAGCTTTCTTGTAATTCTACGGATAATTCACATTTATTTGGTTTCATACGCTCTTTACTATTGCTGTTTGTAGAATCATTCCATACATGCATATTCTGCACTGATACACTGCCCAGATTTCTAAGGCTGGTACTGTCACAGGACTTCTTTTCTTGTGAAGTAAGGTCAGCAAAGATAATTGAACTACCACTTTCCACACTCTGAATGTGACAGTGATCACTGAAAATAATAAAGGGAGAGAAATCAAAATATGTACACAGTTTTATACCATCTATTTATGATACAACATTCTGAAAACTTTTTTTTTTAATTGCAAACTGCATTCCAGAGTAAGAGTTCAGCTGCTTCCCCATATAAAACTTTAGGATTACAGAATTGGCAGTGTAGGCTCCAGCCTTTTTAACACCTTCCCCCAGCAGGGATTTCTGACAGCTGACCCAGACAGACAACTCATAGATACATACAGTCCCAGGTCACAGAATTCACCAGACAGAAGCATGATGCATCTCCATTCCTTTAAACTTAGGAAGTTACACTGTATTTGTCATAGGACTCCATCTTCTTATTGAAAGGGCTAATCAACGCTTCTGAGAAACAGAAGGCCCCATCACTCTAATAAGACTCCATAGTACTAATCAGTGTTGTTGATTGGCACAGAACTTTTGAAGTAAACTTGAAGCCCAGTACTACTACATCCAGGCACTCAGAAACTGAGAGGTCCAAAGAAGGTAGAAGTATTCAGTAATATTCTTCAGCTTACACAACAAGAAGAGAAACAATAACAAGGATAATTAAGACTCTTTGGGGTTATAATTTGAAGCAAAAAGCACTTGTGCAATATATGCCAAATTCTGTACTCTTTTAATGTTACTTTAAAAGAAGCCTTATGTTAAAGCCAAATAACTGTGATCATTGAGATTTATAATACTTACTTGCTATTCTCCTGCTCCAAAGATAATGGCTGCAACTCCATTATTGTTTTATCTATTGGACGAAAAGATAAATATGGTATTTTACAAAACAAAGCATGCATACATTTACTACAAATTAACAGTTAAGCTACAGCATCTTACTGAATTTAACTTCATTATCTGTAGCTATCTTTTTCTCTATTTCTGCTGCTGCAAAAGGTGCTTGTTAGTCTACTACGAAGCAACCCTAATATGTTTTTCATTTTTCTTTAAATGAAAAGACAATACATGTTGTACAAGGTCACTGAAAGGGATGTACTGGGCTCTCTTCACCTAGACTTCACCTTTAAGAAGTTAGGCTGTTCAAAAAAAGGGCTTATAATGTATATGGTAATACACAGTTAAAGAAGCAACTCCACAAGGCACTGTCCTTTGCATAACCCTGCTGTTGTTTTCAAGACACTTGGTATTTTTAAAATAATTTTCATTAAAATTGTATATTTATGTGAAAAAGCAATTTGTTTTAGCACACAGATGCAAATATGAAACACCAATCTTGTAAGCCAAGGAAAATATTTAAGTTGGAAAACCACAGGACCTACCTATAGATCTACTTATGTACTTACATTATCACCATTAAATACTTGTAAAGTATTCCTAGAACTAAGAAGTTGCATCCTTCGAGATTCTCAGTATCATTGGTTAAACAGTCTTGTCTGTTTTACTACACTGTCAACCTCCTATGCATTTTTTGTGCCTATAGCTGACTGGGCAATAAAGTCATATAAAGCATAAGCAAACCTCCCACTAAGAGAGGATGAAAAGATTTAATTGATAAAGGCATTCCAGAAAAGGACAAGAAAGGAAGGGACCAATGGATTAGGATTACAAAAGGACCAAAGTATGGGAAGAGCTGAGAATAGAGAAACTGAAGAGAAAAAAAAAGGGGGGAGGCAAGGAAGAAGGTACAAAATAAATACAAAAGTAGATAAATTCTCAACAGTTACAGACAGTAGTTGATACTAGAAAAATACAGATTGCTCTGTCACTGCAGAACTATGGAATGCAATTCATCAAATTTAAACTCTCCTGTGGAATGCAAATAAGAGGGAATCTTCTTTTTTTGCCATTAAAGTATTTATTTACAGGTTCTTTCAGTTTTTCTAAACTCTTTTCCAGATAGGAAGAGAAGCATAGTGAGAAATTTATCCTAGTTTTGCTACAACTCTGACATTTCAAAACATGGTAGCAAATTTGTGGTTTTTTTTCTCCTAGTCATCGCTTTTCCCCCAATATCTGAAGTGGCTCATCCCTAGTATTCATTCTTCTCCTTGTCAAATCATTTTGCATTAAAAGGTCTTCATTGCATTCCACTGAACCTCACAAACTTTAAAATCCTCCTCATATATTACCAGAAGTGAAGCTAATACTTCCACAGTTCCAAATTCATCATTAAGTAAAGGATTAGTTACTAGGCAAGAGACTGAAGTGCAAAGAGGGACATGAAGACCTGGTGGTCACCTGTAGTTTGCTTTTTTTGGTTGTTTTAAGGAGGGGAAAATAGTTATTTTATCAGAGAAGTAACACTCTCCTGCAAATAACAGTACAGAGGTTATAAGCAGGATGTGAGCAAGAATTACACAATATACTGTACTTTCCTTTTGGGCGTACTGTTTGAACTTGCTCCATCCAAGCCGTGTGATAGCCTACAATATTAGGATGCTGCAGCCCAGCCAGCACTTTCACTTCTCGTAGCACCTAAAAAGACCAAAAAGAAACAGTCTGACTGTCCTTTATTCTGATCGCTTAGTAAAGCCAAAAGATAACAAAAAATAACAGTTTCTGAGAAAGAACAGATAAAATTATTACAGTAATGGAGAAAATTTGGAACCTTTAAAAAAAATTATGATTTTTGTAATTGCAGAGATGATCAAATTCAAGTTAGTAACATGCTTCTTTTAAGCAACTTACGTACCTCTCATTTACTTTTTTCTACTAGGTATCGATAGGATCAAATCTTCAGAAACTCAGAATGCATAAAAAATGTTATTAATGTTTTTGATATTTTGGGAAATATTATCTGCATTACTAAATTAAATCAGAATCAGCTAGAGTAGACAGGGAGTTAAACCAGAAATGAAACATAAGAAAAAGAATACCTTCATGCAATCTCTTCTTGTAGCCTTCTTAATGTTAATTTTTTTAATAGCATAGAACTGACCATCTAACTTGTTTCTGACCTGAAAACAATTGCAATAGGACAAAATTAGATATTAATGTGTTTAGATTAATGAATTATTAAATCCTTTAGAATCAACTATTTTCTAAAAATTATTTCTTCCATTCCATTCAGATAACCTTTCACCCATATCAGAGAATGAAACTGGGATTAGACCCCAGCTGTCTAAGATAAGGATACTCTACTTTTGCCTTCTTTCAGGATTGCAAATATCTAATGAAACCTGTGTGAAATAAACAGCTTTACAGCTATCTTGCCATCAATAAAAAAATGCTGATAGGTCCTCGTAAGTGCTTAAACAGGTTCTCAATAAATCTGTGAGACAACAACTGTCATTTACATATGGCACATACCACCATGGGGAACCTTAGGCTGGCCATATGCTCCAAGTATTTAATACAATTCAACAGTGGGTTGGACAGTTTACATTCATAGTAAGGCTGTTTTATTTCAAGCAGCCACAACTGGAACATTGGGGTGTGCAGATTAATCAGTTCCTGTGGCTGTTTTAAGTCAATATATCACAATACTTCACACAAGAAATAAAGAGTTTTCATTCACTTCAAAGACGTCAAAATAACAAAGTAAAACATCTGATGTGACAAACAGAGAACAGAAACCACAACTGACCATCTTTTGAAATGGAATGCCAACATCCTTCACATGTGCAGGTTTGCACTTGTTCTATCAGAAAATGAGTATTTTGTTTATTTTTCTAATAGAAAAACAAAAACAGCCAAAAAGTAGCTCTAAATTTCAAAGAAAACCTAGATATACACTGAGCAGTTACAAACAGTAAAGAATACCTTGTATACTTTACCATAACCTCCTTCTCCTAGCCTTGCAACCTCATCAAATTCATTCAAGTATCGTGAAGTCTGTGCTTCAAAGAGAACTTCTTTTTCCCTGATCAAAAAAGTTACGCTGCATTAAACTAAATTACAACTTACAAGTAAGGTATTACATAGGCTACAGGAGTACACAATCTAGAAATACTGTTTATGTTATGAAAAGAAGAAAATATTTTGACATTACCATAGTGAATACTGAAAATCAGCAGACTGCAACAGCATGTACATGTGCTACAAATTCGCACTCTGTGTTAACAGAAGTATTAAGGTGATTTCTTTTAAGTTTATGCCTGATAAATCTTGTTTTCCTGAATGGTGGCACTAACCATAAGAGTTGTACTGAAGAAGGAATTTTCATCGCATCATTTTGAGAGTTTCAAGAAACTTTCAGGTTTTCTCTACGTTTCAGAGCCAAAATATGAAATGCAGTATTAATTAAATTCAGAGTGGAGCACAGAATTTTAAGAAGGGAGTTAAATTAAATATTTCTAAATCCTTTGAATACATACCCAGTTGCATGAGAATCTCTGTTATCAAGTTCCTATGAAACAACAAAATCCACCATAAAAAACACGCCATACAGAATAAAAGGTCTACCATGCCATGGGCACAGACAGCTAAACCAAAATACAAACTACAACTATGTTCTTAGCAGAAAATGAGGTTACTGATAGCCATTCACATTCTGCAGAGAGCTTCGCTAAATTAAAGTATTATTATCCCACCAGTAATCTGCTAACGTCTCTCTGCTGGAGAGATTACGGCCCTTTTAGAGTTCTGCTGGCAAACAGGATAAAATGAGGGCTCTAAAATGTGCTTAAGACAAAATTAACTAGCTTAGTTCAAGCAGTGAGATAAGCAAACTGGTCTGATTGAGCCTGAAGCACATTACGCAGTATATAAATTATGCCTTCTGCTAACGTAAGTACAAGGGTGTTAACACAATCAAGTGGAATAGTTAAAAGTTGAAAATGGATGTCTCACGAAAATAACGGTAGCAATACCTAAAACACCTTGCCTGTGTTTATAAATAATTTTTTTAACTTTTTTTTTTTTTCAATTATTTAGTAAGGAACAAAATATCGCTGGCTTCAAAAGCTTTGGCTTGCACCTATAGAACCAAAACACGCCATCCCAAACAGCTACAGTAGAATGGGAATACCATTGGTATAATTATTAAAAAGACCCGATCCAATATTAAAAGAACCCCCAAACAAAAGCTTCTTTGGATGCAATGATGTGTTAATTCCTTAATGTAGAGGTTGCCAAAGAAATTTAACAAAGCTTACCCCATTCAGTATTTGTCGATTAGCTGCTTTCATTAGTTCAGTAATGGCTCTATTATGCTGCAGTCTTACAGTACTAAACTCATCACAGAAGGCAAAAGGGGAGAGCAACCCTGTTCTTGTAAAAGCCTGACGAAGGACTGTACAAAGGATCAGAGAAAGGTCACATTAAATAAAGCCTGCCAATAAGACCATGTAAACAGTTGTTTTTTAGATGAGAAACTTTATTTGAAAGGTAGTGCATCTGAAAAAACAAACAGTCACTCCTACTCTAATGTCTTTTCCCATACTCTTAGCAATAAAAACTAATTAAATCCAAACTAGAGCTGCTCTGTGGGAATCCCTTTGCATAATACAGTTATTTGCCATGCCCTTCATGGTCACAACTGCATGTCCTCTTCTTCTGTATCTCAGCAGATGAATTATACAAACATCCACCCATTCACTTACTTGTTACCCTTGGAGTAATTTTGATCAGTGAAAAGAGAAATTCAAAGCATGTTCACAGTTATGAGGGCATGTTTATAATAAAAAGTGGTAACATCAAGTTTTTCTAATTTACATACAAACTCACACATCTATGCACATACTCATCGTAAAGAAGGAAGTTGTGCCCTTCCACCCCCCCAAAGCACCAGATCTTTCTCCGTTGGAGTAAAACAACATTGTGACAGACAAAAACTTAACAAATACTGGAGATGGGTGCAACTGTGAAGACATTACACAAATGTACTTAAAAGTTCCAAGGTTTTAAAACAAACTTGCTTGTAAGAGTGGGGTTTTTTTTAAGATGTTTCTTTGGTACCATTATTTCAAAAATCAGCCTATTACTTTATCTTTTAAAGGACGTAAAATTTATTGAAAGAAAACCTGTAAGAAATCAGGAATATTGCTACACAAGCTTTATGGACACAGTTACACACACCAGAGAAGTGGGAAAACCCCACCCTTGCCAACAAGAATATACCAGCCAAAACCCACAAAACAGATAGGACTACTGCAATATATTTTCCTTTTATTCATCAGGTTTATTCCACTTGGGAAACTGGTTTAAACTATATCAATGGAGGAACGTCATTTTCCATAGACATACACTGGGAAGCCAAGCAGCCACATACTTTGGAAGATGCCAGGCTGGTTTTTTTGTTCCTCTCCCAAAAGGAAGAAATGTGGTTGTTTTTTTTCCCCTGATATTTTTGGTTTTGATAATAGAATTTTTGATAGAGAATAGGTTTTTGATAGAGATAATAGTAAGACCCAGGGCCAAACATCTACATCAGACTTTAAGAACAAAAAAATGACAAGTTGTCTGCACTGTTGTTACTGGATACTATAAATGGCTTCAACTTTAAATACGTGCAATACATGAGATTTTATTTTCTACAGTCATGCATGGTAAGGAGATTGTTTCTCAAATGCATTAATTATGTGTCTAAATGAACAAAATCCTAAGATAAGTCACATACCAAAAAGCCAGATTTCAAAAGAAACACCTCACACCTAAAAATGTAACCTCCCTGAATTATATCAAGAGACCTTAGGGGAAAATAAAGGACTTACAAAGGTATTTACTCTGATTTTCACATACCGTAATTTGAAAGACTGAGTGAAGACTACACTACAGCTATTTCTTGATAAATATTTTTACTGAATTCTTCTTCTGTGTTTTCAGACCAGAATTAAGTTAGATAATTTACCCTGCTACCCTTCTCATGATGCAACTCACGTGATTTAGCTGCAACAGAACCATGCGATCCTTGCATATACAACAACAACATCCTGTTACTGTTTTCAAAAATAAGACAGGTCCTCATAACCAATTAAGTTGATTCAGGGTATTCATGCTCTTCTCAGAATTACTCTTGCCCCAGTGGGATGAGACCTACAGCTTTGTGTTGGTATTACACTGTAATTCTGCACGGAAGAATCTGGTATATGTTGCAGTTAAGGCAGTTTAAGAGACAGGAAAGAATTACTCTTACTAACTTTGGAACAAACACCTCGAATGGACAGGGTTGTGCGTGTACATGTGGCAGAGATGCTCCAGCAGCGACACAAGCAGCAGCTGGTTTTGGATGGTCGAAGTGAAGTTCACAAACTTTTGCGACCCGTTTGCAACTCGCAGCTCCGCCGGCACGTCCGATTCTGGAAAAGGACAGTCAGACGAATGAATTTATATCTCACTATATGCCTGTTAACCAAAACACCAACCGCATACAAACCCATGCAGCTTCAATGCAACCCCGACTCACAAAAACGCACCACACGGGCTGCCACTGCGCGGGAAGCTCAAGACGCTAATTAGGAAGCTAATTATAACTGATTTTTATAAGTGCATATAAAAAAAAGCTAACCGGAGAGGACGAGGCTCTCCCCGAGGGCGCTCCCACAGCGGCCG